CGGAAGAGGATTATGCTGAATTTTAGGTTGATTGAATGAACTTTGCTACAGCAATGTTAAACTTTGCTACAGCAATCCTATAGCAAAATGTGGTCAGAGTTGCAACCGAGAAAAAATCAGTAATCCTAGCCTTTACCCATCATTGATTCACAACTTGTAGCTTAGAACTTGTTAAGTCTTACCTCTTGTTTACATTTAAATCATTCCCAGTCATTTTAGTAATTCACGTTACTTAATTTGTATTTGATTCACTTTTCAATTCATTTTAGTTCAACTAGTTTTTATAATCAATTTTGTATTAACGCAGTCCCTCTGGAGACGATACTCTTTACTCACTACTGTATTACTTGTGCGATTGCGTGCACTTGCATAGAGCTATTTCCATACATAGGATTTTATCGTAACAAGTTTTTGGCGCTGTTGCCGGGGATAATTTACCCTATTTCAGATAGCTCTTGGGTCAACCCTGTTCAGTGCGTACCCAAGAAAGGTGGAGTCACGGTTCCGAATGACAACAATGAGTTGATACCTACAAGAACAGTAACTGGTTGGAGGGTATGTATGGACGATTTCTCGGTGTTCGGAGACTCCTTTGGGGATTGCCTAACAAATTTGGAAAGAGTCTTAATGAGGTGTGAGGAAACCAATTTGGTTCTCAATTGGGAAAAATGCCACTTCATGGTACAAGAGGGCATTGTATTGGGTCATAAGGTTTCCAACAAAGGCATCGAGGTGGACAAAGCAAAGATTGAAGTCATAGACAAACTACCACCACCAACATTAGTGAAGGGAATTAGGAGTTTTCTGGGCCATGCAGGGTTTTATTGGCGGTTCATAAAAGACTTTTCAAGGATATCTAAGCCATTATGTAGTTTGCTGGAGCAAAGTAGACCGTTTGAGTTCAATGGCGAATGTCAGTAGGTATTCTTGGAATTGAAGAGGCGGTTAGTGTCTGCTCCCATTGTCATCTCACCTGATTGGTCACTGCCATTTGAACTTATGTATGATGCTAGCGACTACGCAATCAAAGCAGTGTTAGGGCAATGACATGAGAAGGTATTCAACTCAATTTATTATGTGAGCAAGACAATGACTGAGGCCCAACTGAATTACACTACCACAGAGAAAGAGTTGTTAGCTGTGGTATTTGCCTTCGACAAATTCAGAGCATATCTTGTAGGCACCAAGGTGATTGTATACACTGACCACTCTGTAATTAAGTATCTGATTGCCAAGAAGGATGCCAAACCGAGGCTGATCCGATGGATACTATTGTTGCAAGAATTTCATCTAGAAAAAAGGGACAGAAAGGGGTCTGAAAATCAGGTTGCAGACCATCTTTCCAGACTTGAGGAGGGAAGTAGGACTGAAACAAGGGAGCCTATTCGAGAGACCTTCCCAGATGAGCAACTTCTTACCATGCAACAAGCCACAACCCCCTGGTATGCAGACTTTATGAATTATATAGTAAGTGGCATGTTCCCACCTGAAATGAACAGTCAAAAGAAGAAAAAGTTCTTGCATGATGCTAAGTTCTATTGTTAGGATGAGCCGTTCCTTTACAAGTAATGTATAGATCAGGTTATTCAACGGTGTATCCCTGAGGAAGAAGTTCAAAGCATCCTCCAGCATTGCCATTCATCACCATACGGAGGGCATTTCGGAGGAACAAGAACAGCTGCAAAGGTCCTCCAATCTGGATTCTATTGGCCTTCAATATTCAAAGATGTGCATGAGCTTGTGAAGATATGTGATAGGTGCCAACGTGTCAGCAACATCTCCTGCCGACACAAAATGTCGCTGAGCAACATTCTGGAGGTGAAGTTATTTGACGTATGGGGCATTGACTTCATGGGGCCATTTCCTCCATCTTTTGGAAACCAATACATCTTGGTAGCGGTAGACTACGTCTCAAAATGGGTGGAGGCGGCAGCATTTTAAACAAATGACTCCAAGGTAGTGGTAAAATTCCTTCACAAGAACATCTTTACACGCTTTGGATCACCGATGGCCATCATCAACGATGAAGGTACCCATTTTGGTAGCAAGCAATTGAAGAACCTCTTGAGTAGATATGGAGTGAAGCATAAGATTGCTACAGCATACCACCCACAAACCAGTGGGCAAGTAGAAAACTCAAACAGGGAGATAAAGGGGATCTTGGAGAAGGTGGTCAACCCGAATCGGAAAGATTGGTTGCTGAGGTTGGAAGATGCTCTATGGGCATACAGAACAGCATTCAAAATGCCACTAGGAATGTCTCCATTCCGATTAGTCTTTGGGAAGGCATGTCACCTAGCGGTGGAATTGGAACACAAGGCGTACTGGGTAGTGAAACAGTTGAACATGGACCTCCAACTAGCAGGAGAGAAGCGTTTATTGCAGTTGAATGAACTGGAGGAATTCCGACTGTAAGCATATGAGAGTGCCAAGTTGTATAAGGAGAAAACCAAGAAATGGCACGACAGAAAAAATTATCCCACGGCAGTTTGAGGTTGGGCAGCAAGTTTTACTCTTCAACTCAAGGTTTAAGCTATTTCCAGGGAAACTGAAGTCTAGATGGTCAGGTCCCTTTGTGGTAAATCAAGTCTACCCACATGGAGCAGTGGAGATTGCGGCAGCAAACTCTGGGAGAGCCATTAAAGTGAACGGCCAGCGACTCAAACACTACTGGGGTGATGAGATTAATCACCAGAAAATCTCAATTTCACTTCAAGATGCATAAGTGTGCAGCAGAGTCAGACTTAAGACTCTAAAACAAACGCTTAAGGGAGGCAACCCTACATTTTCAATTTTTACATGTCTTTTGGTTTATAATTTTTGTTGATTATCCGTTGTTTATTTTGTGTAGATTGTGAATTTGATCTAGGATAGTGTTGTGCAGAGGTTACTATAGCAGGAGAAAGGAAAAACTGAGCTCAGAGGAAAAGGGGCTGAGTTCCAAAATTGTGCTGCAGCAAAATTCTTTCCTCGCAGAGAATTGCTATAGCAAAGTAAAATGCTGGGGGCTGCATTTCCATAGTTTTGCTGCAGCAAAATTTTTCGCCATAAAAAATTTACTGTAGCAATTCTTACAAAAAAAAAATGGGAGATTAAAGGGGCCACATGCCCTATTAATATCAGACCACTTTCCCTTTCCCTTTCAAAAAAAAAAAAGAAATCCTAGCAGCCCCCACCTCCCAGCCCCACCCCATGCTTCCTTGGCTTTAGTTTCTCCCACACCGTCGACCCCACAGATCAACCTTTTCTGAGCCTCACACACACTCGAATCATAGGGCCCTAGCTGTTCAGAGTAGCCAAGTGGACTTTGGGCACTAGTCTTGCATCTAAAGTTTGGGGGCGTGCTTCATTCCACTTGAGCAACACCTCTATTTGCTGATTTGACAATGGTGAACACAAAACGGCCCGCCAGCAACCAACCCCCGCAACTCAGTTATAGGACATTTCTCTCAACAGCGGTTGAAACCAGGTACGAGAAGTGTATTTTCAAGCACTCTTTTAGCCCTGAAAATGGTTTCTTGTTGATGGACTCCCCCACTATGGGGTATGACGAGTCAATATCCTTAGTGATTAGTGCCCTCAATTGGAAAAAATTCTACTCTCACCCGCCTACCGTAATTGTTCCTCTCGTTAGAAAGTTTTATGCCCATTTCACCAAATAGGGGCAGCAGCGGGTGTATGCGCGTGGCGTTCTGGTCCCAGTTGACCCGGATGCCATCAACCACTTTTATGGGTTAAAGGGGTCCATCGATCTACACTCTAAGTTTTGCAGCGACTGCTGATGCGATGCAGCTGGACGCAATGCTAGATTACCTCTGTGTCGAAGGCGCCACCTGGAGCATATCAAAGCAGGGTGCCATGACAGTTCAAAGAAACAACCACGCACTGCAGGGCAAGGTCTGGTATCATTTCCTAAAAACTCGTCTGCTGCCATCAATGACTATGCACACTGTGTTAAGAGACCGCATGTTGCTGTTGAATTCCATCATCGCAGGCCGCCCGATAAATGTGGGGAAAATAATCCACAAGGAGCTTTGCTCATGTGCGCGTAAGTCAGGCGGCAATTTGTGGTTTCCAGCCCTCATTTCGGGTTTGTGTCTAAGCAATAGAGTGCCGGTGTTTCCCACTGAGGAGAGATTGTCATCACGAGGCGCTATAACCACTCAAACTATAGCCCGGATGACACAAGTTTGACCGGATGGAGCACGTCCAGTTGAGTAGCCTGCCATCGATGATGAGGAGCAAGACCTTGCGCCGCAGGCCACCACCAGTGGATAGGCTGCCGAGTCCAGCAGTAGGGGTCAAGCTCCTGAGGGCATGGTTCACTCCCTCCGCATGTTGGAGTAGCGCATCACTCTTCAGGAAATTCAATAGTTTCAAATGTTAGAAATACTGCAGCAAGTGCATAAGCAGCAGCAGAAGTACTAGGCTATGCAAGGCAGCGGGACATCGCTTTGAAGAAGTCACTTCAGAAAAACTTCACCAAGCCAGTATTCTCGTTGCCTGAGTTTCCTGAAGAAGTGTTAGAGCAAATTACCACCGAGGAAAATGATGAGGACGATCCAGAGGATTGAAGGAGGAATGCAAGGGTAGGCGACTTGCCTACCCTCCCCAGGGAGTATCAACCTTCTTTCGTAATTTTGCAATGTTTAGTTTTACATTTTTTTTGTTCTGTTTGTTTTAGGTTGTTCTGTGATTATTCCCCCAAGCAATGAGGACACTGCTTCCTTTAAGTTTCGGGGTGTGTGGTTGACAGGTTTTGTGTTATCTTTGTGCTATTTTTTTTTGTTCAGTATGAGTTAGTATGTTAGTTTGTGGTTTGGTTCTGTTTTATGGTGGTGTCTCAGTCTTGTTATAAAAAATAAAATAAAAAACAATGTTTCATTTCTGTGTTTTGTTAAGTGTGAATAAATGCTTTGGTTTTGCTACAGCTATGTTGGTTTTAGGACATTCTATGAAAAGTGCAATGTCTCGAAAGTCTCAGCTTGTGTAGTAAATTGGTATGAGTTAAAACTTGGTGATATATGTGGTTCGGTTGCTCCATAAATGTGATCATTTGAAACTTAGCACGTTAGACTATAGCATAGTCGTCTGTTGGAAAGCCTAGGAAATTTTGAGTCATTGTGAGAGCTTAGGATCATAGAACTGATTGTGCGATACCCTTGAAGCGAAACTTTAGGGAGTCAAACGTTTTAGGGTGAATTGATATTGAAAAGGGTTGATGCTTAGGGTTGTAATTAAAAATAAAAAAATAAAAAAACACCTCATATGCGTAAAATACTCCTCTATTCTAAGCTGCCCAGTAACCAGGAGTAACATGAGCCCCATGTGTACTTTTGCGTCAAACAGCAGTTCAGTATATGAGTTTACTAAAGCAATTCTGACTTATGACGTTGCTGAGCAACCGGGTGTCTTCATCACCAATGTTGGCATTAGCATAAAAAGGTAGCAGTGACATGAGGAATTTGAATAAAAAAAAAAAAGAAGTGAATATTTATGCACCCATCTAATGCCCTTAGAGACAGTTTGCGGAATGAGTGGAACCTTAGACGTTTGGTTAACTGATGCTAGAGGAGAGGGGGTCAAGCAATCAGCTTATTAGATCATAAACTAGGCTCAATGAGCGTGATTCAAGTGATCTTGGTGATTCAAGGATGGTTAGCTATGGTCTCACACATGCACCTATAGAAGAATTTTATTTGTGGAGTGGGCGGATAACGGATTGAACCGAGATTGAATGAAATGCTAATTGGAATTCAGCTGGGAATTTAGAGGCATTGTTGGAGAATAGAGAACCAACTTGTTTGGCAGCCAAAGCAATTTCCTGTTTTGTGTATTGAGTCATTTTATGTTGTTCCGTTTGTGTTGTTAGGCATTACTCGAGGACGAGCAATGACTTAAGTTTGGGGGTGTGATAACTCAATGAAATAGAGTTATTTAGCATACTTTTAGGCTTAGTAGTTGTTTATTTTCTCAAGGTAAAATGCCTTAGTGTTAGTATTTTGTATAACATTCGTTAGTTTTTGTTTAGTTGATAGAAGGTTGATATTTGTGGAGCAATCTCGTTATAACATGGATTTAGTCATCATGTTCAATGCAGGTGTGTTGGGTTTGGGTAATTAGTGCAGGAAAGCAACAGGGCAGTGTTGGTAAAAGCAATTTGAAAGACAAGCACGGTAAAGGAAGTGAAGGCATGAATGAACCCATTGCTGTAGTAAAGCTATAGCAACACAGATGCAACCAAAAGGTGCAAGCTGGTGCATTTTGTTTTCATGCACAGCTGGCAGTGGTCCAAATTGCCGACTGACATGAGGGGGCAGCTGTAAGAGCACTAAAGCGGGGACCATCAGTTTTGGCTCTGAGGTGAACACATGTAATTAGGGTACCTCATCCTGCCCTAATATAAAAGGAAAACGAAGAGTACTGAAGGGGGGGCAGAAAAAGGAGGAGGCGCAGAATTACACAAAGGAAGCTAAAGAAAGAAAGAAAAAGAATGAGGAAAGGCAGAGCTGGTTTATGGGGCAAAATGGAAGCAAGGACAAAGGCCTACTGAGCATCCAGACTTTAGCTTAATCATTTCCTTCTATATGTCTGTATTTACTCTCTGTGACAAATGGATTTGATTATTGTTATTATTTCTAATTACCTTGCACCGAACATGAGCTAAACTTCTTTAGCTAGGATTATTGATGGAAACAAAGTTGCAATGAAGATTAATTTGTTATTCTAATTGCTTGTGTAATTTTCATTCGGTTTACTCAAGTGTGTTTATTGTTCAACTTTTGTTAAGTGACAGGTCATCATTTAATGGAAAACATAAACTGAAATTAATTCTCGAAAGGTTGGTTTTAGTTGGAACTATCTTGGATAATATAAGGGAATAGTATAGGAATATATTATGGCCTTGTACAACCCATTAAAATTGGTGCTTACTCCAGGTTTTGAGAACTGAAATGCATAGGAATATGCTAGTTTTGGTTTGAGGAACTACAAGCATAGATCTATCGGAACAGGATTATGCTGAATTTTAGGTTGATTGAATGAACTTTGCTACAGCAATGTTAAACTTTGCTATAGCAATCCTATAGCGAAACGTGGTCAGAGTTGCAACCGAGGAAAAATCAGTAATCCTAGCCTTTACCCATCATTGATTCACAACTTGTAGCTTAGAACTTGTTAAGTCTTACCTCTTGTTTACATTTAAATCATTCCTAGTCATTTTAGTAATTCACGTTACTTAATATGTATTTGATTCACTTTTCAATTCATTTTAGTTCAACTGGTTTTTATAATCAATTTTGTATTAACGCAGTCTCTGTGGAGACGATACTCTTTACTCACTATTGTATTACTTGTGCGATTGCGTGCACTTGCGTAGAGCTATTTCCATACATAGGATTTTATCGCAACAATAAATTTACGACAAATACAAAAAAATAAGTATTAAACATAATGAGAACATTGAACTTAACAGAGGAAAGCACACTCACTAGGATAAAATATTGGTAAAGAAAAAAGAGTGCAATTATAAGTCTTATAAATAAGTACATAATAAAATTAGTTTTATACTTCATATTTATTAGTTGGGCCTTTATTGTGCTTTTAACGTACTCGTGTCGGCACTTAGCGTGCCGTGCCGTGCCTTTAACGTGCTTCATGCCTAAAAATTACGTCAAACTCAGCTCATTTAATAAACAAGATAGACTAGATCCATTCAATAATCGT